TTTTTTTTAAAGAAGCCATGAAATAAAAACTTACAGAAAATATTTACACTTTGCTACTTTTATACTCCTTCAGTTTAGTGCTTAACTCTACTTATTTAAGGCATATTTTAAAACAATGTATAAGCCATATTTATATACATACATACATGTTTTATATATATAAAGTTTAAGACAGATGCATATGCCACATTTGTTTTAGAGTACAATAAATTATAGGTGAAAAAATTGCAATTGATGCTGTCAAGTGATGACTCAGTGAAAACAACTTTCCTTTAAAAATTACTCATTTTTAAATTTTTATCTTCACTTTGAAAGATGCTATTTTCTATACACCTTTCACCAGGCATGAATGTATCTAGGCTACAATGCTTTCTGACAGGCATTCAAGCACATTCGCTGTTTGTCCTTATCATCTCTATACAGATAAAGCTGTTCCTACTCCTCCTTAAATAATAAAATGAGACCATGAGAGAATGAATCTGATTATGTATTTAATAAAGAAAAGAGGTCATTTTATAATTTGAATTTCACAGTGTTATAAACACCTTCCCATTTTTTTCTTTCAGAATCTGAAAATGCTGGTGACATAAATTGGTAGTTGAAAGAACATGGTAGAAGATTGTTTCATTGGGAATGGTGGAACTCCCTACATCACTCTCCTTCATAAAATCCAAGAGAAAATTGGCAAAAATTGTGGAAATCAACTTTTTTGAAAATTTTGAAATTTAATCAAATGCCATAATTGTAGAACATTTATTCCAGGGGGGGGGGAAGTTTTAATCTTGGTAAGAACAAGACTTCTGGTATTTTAACTTGATCTCTTCCCATCCTCCAATACTTATATTGAAAACCAGTAATTCTATATACACAATGAAAACCAGCAGTCCGCAGCCACTGGCTCAGAAGTAGAGTCCTTGCCTAGCATGTCATCTGGCTCACTATTTTGGAGGTTCCAGACCATATTCACAAGAAAACATCATGACGGGGAGTGCATGGTAGATCCAAGCTGCTCACCTCATGGTGGATGGGAAGGGGAGAGAGAATAAGAAGGAGAAAAGGGACTGGGTACAAAAGATTATTTTCAAGTACATGCTACCAATGACCCACTTTCTGAAACTAGACCTCACCCTAAAGTTGCACCTCCTTCCAACAGCACCACAGGCAGACAAAATAGGACATACTAAAACACAACCAAATAGGACATACTAAAACTTATGGGGATGTAGCCAACATCATGCTAGAGAAAAATCTTCAAGTATAAATGACTGCAATATAAAAGGATGATAATCTAACATTCCACTCTAAGAACCTAGAAACAGAACTGAGTATATTTCCCTGTAGCTTTAGGAGCTAACATTATGTTTAATGGTAAAACATTGAAAGCTTTCCTCCTCAGATCAGAAATATGACCAGAATGCCCAATCTTATCCTTCTCTATTCAACATTGTTCAGTCAGTTCTATCCAGAACAATTAAACAAGAAAAATAAATAAAAGTCATATACCTTGTAAAAGAAGTGCTCTCCTCTATTCACAGATCACATGATCTTGAATGCAGAAAATCCTACAGAATTCACACATAAAACATTTAAACTATTTTAGTTTGCATGTTAAAAGATAATACACAAACATCAACTGTATTTCTAAACACTAGCAATGATCATTCCAAAAATAAAGAATGATGCTAATAAAAAAATAAAATACACGTCAATAAGCTCAACATATTTATAAGACTTGTACACTGAAAACTACAAAGTATCATTTAAGTAAATTAAAGAAGAACTGGGATGTAGGTCAGTGGTAGAGTGCTTGCCTAATATGCATGGGGCCCTTATTTTAATCCCCAGTACTGAAAAATGAGAGAAGGTCAGATCTCAATAGATGGAGAGACATATACCGTGTTCATAAATGGAAAGAGTTAATATTGTTCAGCTAGCACATGCCCCCTTATTGATCTTCAGATTCAACATGTTCTATACCACAATCACAATTTGTTATTGTTGTTGGCAGAAATTGAAAATATGATCACAAGGGGACTAAAATCTCCTAGAATCTCCTAGTTCTGTAGGCTGGGCAGTCCAAGATGGAAGTACTGACCCATTATTTGTCTAGCAAGACTTCTCTCTCTGCTTTTGAGATAGCATCTAATTGCTCTGTCTCAGGAGGGAATCAACACTGTGATTTTGTGTGATGAAACTGATGGAAGGTAAAACAGTAATGTCACTGTATGAAGGTTCTTTGTTTTTAATATATATATATATATATATATATATTGTAGTTTTATACAATACCTTTGTTTTATTTATTTTTATGTGGTGCTGAGGATCAAACCCAGGGCCTTACACATGCTAGGTGAGCACTCTCCTGCTGAGCCACAACCTCAGCCCCTGAGAAGGTTCTTTTATAAGGACATTAATGTCACATGTAAGGGAGGAGCCCACATGACTGACCTACCTACCTCCTAAATGCCTACCTGTACATAGTTTTGCTTTGAGGATTAAGTTTCAACATGAATTTTGCAGGAAAGTAAACATTCAAACCACAGCAAGCCCTATTCTCATCAAGTAGTACTTTGGGGGCTCTTTTTCTATCATTGGTGGGAGTGACACATGACAAAAAGAAGGCACATTTATTCTGAGTATACCCAGGATGCCCGCCCTCAGTAGAAATAGGGTGAGCTTACCTGAAAGGTGGGGAAAATCAAAACACAATATCTCTTTCTAAGAAAAAAAAAACTCCAATTATTCTTTAATAATCTTTCTATGTGCAAATGACGTATCTTTTTATCAAGTGGAGGGATCTGAAAGTTCTAAAATTAATTCACATTTTTGTCTTTTAACATCTGCCTATGAGGATTTGGATCCTTGCTTTGCAAATTCTCATGTTTATATATCAGTGCCTTGTTGAAAAGTCATTTTTAAGATCTTTTAATAAAGGATTTGTAGTCAAGGCTATGACTATATGGGTATTAGAGAAACAGTTTTTTCAGTAAAGTAGGTGCTTATCAGACATTTATTAGATATTGAAGTAATAATCAGATAGGTTAAAAAAATGCAGTCCTGCTGCTGATTAATATTATTTATACTTGGAGATGGGAGATTGATCCCCAAGTTAGCCCTTGCATTGGAGATGATTAGGAGAGAAAACATATTTTCTAAATCTTATATAAGGATAGCTCATATGTGCTATCTTACTTCCCCATATGTGCACAACTATCATTCTTGACCCAGGTAATCTCCACTAAATTTAAAGCATATATGCTTTTTCTATGTATTTTTCAAAGTAGAATTTGTAAAAAAATAAAATGACATTTCTTTTAACTTGGAAAATCTTATTAGTATTTGCCATTATTTGCAGATTGGTAAAAGTCCTTCTTTTTTCCTTTCATATCATCATTATTGATGAAAAGCTGAAAATACAGTTTATAGATCATTACACTTGTAATCTTCCTTTCTACATCATTATTCCTTTTCCTCCATTAAGCTCTTGCAGAGTTAAGTGAAGAGCTATAGTGACAGTGATGGGCAAGAATATTTTCTGCTTTGTCAATTCAAATAAATCCCAAGCTAGTAAATGACAAGCTATTTTGTCAGCAAGGATTAACATCTAGTGATGCCTGAAAGAAGGACCAGTGTATATACAGTCCTAACTGGATTGATAGTATTTTGACTAGTATTCATAGGGGGGAAATTCTATCATTTCTTTAGAATGGTTTTAAGTACACTGAGTACCTTTTTCCTTTCTACATCTCTATATTAATTTTATTTGAAATTGTCTGTAGTATAAGATACTCACTCTTGCTGGTACTCATTAGGAACTAAGTATTTTGTTAATTTCATAAAAAACATTGTTCTTATTATATGACTATTATAGTTTAGATCTTCAATGTCCCTTGGGGTAAT